GTGAGCCATGTGCATGTACATTGGGAAACAAAACACGGGTGGGATTCTATCAGTTCTGATCAGTTCTATAGAACCGCTTGTTACTTTCTAAGCAGTGTGGAGAACTGGTTGTTAGAAGAAATCTCCTTTTGTTTTTTTCCACCCTTATTACATTCTTGGCAGTATGCCTAGACTTACTGTCTCCGAAGGAGGTTTTTTTCTTTCCTGATACTTTCTTAAAGGGGAAGGGTTGTTTTAAGCTTTTTACACTGCTGTGGGAAGGAAATACTCCCCCGGAAATACTTCCAGCCAGCATGCAATGATCAGCACTTTGAAGAAATAATTGAATAACGAAGCAGAGCTGCGAAAGAAGCTTTTTAATGACAAGGAACCAAGATGAGTGACATTCATCAAGGCTTCTTGGCTAGCTAGAAAGATCGACATTCAAACGTGGGTTTACATACCCTTTCTGAGTTTTGGTCTAAAACTGGTTTTTGGTGAAGTTTAATTCTGTCCTTGGTGACGTTTAATCCTGTGTTTATTGATGGGATAATTTTCCCTATTCAGCTTTGTTTGGAAGAAAAAAGATTAATCTCTGTTCCTGAAAAGAAACTGGGTTGGGAAATCTGGCTAGTTCCTGTGTCTATTTGTTCTGGTAATTGGTTTAACGAGCAACAGCTACTGTTGTGATTTAATTATTTGTATTATGTTTGAATTGGTCATGGTTTCTTTTTCTATTTGGGGAGGGGGGTCTTCCTTTACTGCTTTAGTGATATCTGGCATTGTCTTTTTGGGGTGTACTTCCAAGAGGCAGGATGCAAGCTTGGCACTGATTTTTTTACTGCCTTTCTGGGGGGCATGTGACCTTTCCTTAAATCTGGATGATTTCCTTAGGATATCTTGTGAGGTAAGTGAGACCAGCTGGTATCTTTAAATGGTGCAAATGGATTGCTTTTCCTGGGTGTGCTCTTTCTGGAGAGCTTAAATGACCTCTCTGCTAAAGGGTTTCACTTTATGAGCAAGAGTTGGCTGCTGTTATCATTACATTTTAACTATTTTAATTCCTCAAGGTGTTCTGGCACCTTGACTGACTTGTAACTCTGGCTTGCACGTATTTTTAATCTAATGATTGGTATTTACAACAGTTTATTTAGTGACAATTCAAAGTTACAATGGCACTGAAAAAAGTGACTTATGACCGTTTTTCACACTTACGACCGTTGCAGCATTCCCACTGTCATGAGAGGCCAGGTGAGAAGAAGCACCCCTTGACGTGAGTGACGTTGAATTGGTCACGCCCACCCAGTCACGTGACCACCAAGCCACACCCACCAACTAAGCCACACCCATAGAACTGGTTGTTAAAAAATTTGAATCTCACCCCTGAAACAAAACAACCACTTCATGGCACAACATAGGACATTAGGACAAAACTCAGCAGTCTATCTGCATTTAAAAGACAAAAGCCACTCTTTTGAAGCCACATTTTGGACAGAGGGGACCGCTGGTTTGAAAGAGGGGTCAAAAAGGCCATCTATGTCAAAATTGAACAGCCCCCTCTCAACAGAGGAGGAGGGATATGACATCATACACCTCCAATCTACAACACATTCCTTTCAACAGTTCCAAGAAAGCTCCATTTGCACTACTCAGGTGACCCTGATGACACAGATAAACCTCCAAGTAGCCTCAATGACTCTCTAAAAGAATGCAAATGACTAGCTGTTTGCAAGGAATATAAATCCTTCAATTCCCCACTATCCAGTCAGAGTTGAAAAAGCTGTTTGCGAAATATCTTCAGAGAAAAACAAGGAAGTCCATTTGCCTCTTGAAAAAGCACATTTTGGACGTCTATGTTAAAAAGACAGTGAGATTCCATTCTTTTCCACTTTATAAGTTGCAGCTGTGTAAAAAGATGACAGTCCAATATCAAGGCTGAGTATTTTCTGGTTCATCTAATATAGTAAATGACTTGTAACTGACAAAAACGGATCAAAACTCAACAATTTACTATACTAAGAACAAAAATACCACCATCAAAAACACTGAAAACTATATCCACCACCATGTTGCCATGCTGACAGCAATACACCATTTTTGCTCCTATAAAAGATCAATAGGTAAACTCTCTGTGTCTCTCATGATGTCTTTCTCAAAATGTGAAATTTAAGCTCATAAGAAGAGCGGAGCATACTATTGTAAGGTCTTTGCTGAATGAAGAGGGATTTGTCTGGTTGTTTTTTTTTAAATCCAAAAACAAACAATTTCTGTAATATCTAGAAGCTACTTATGACAAAATGCCCATCCTTATCCTGAAGCTGTAGAAGAACTCAGCTAGGACAAAAAAGGAAATATTCTTAACCCTGGTTTTATTTTAATGATGAAAATAAACTCTTCCATTTGAAGACGTCTTTTAATCTATGCAGCAATAGGAATCCATACTTTTATCTCCTGAATGGAGGATGAATTGAGAAAGAAGAAAGATTTAGTTAGATTACCAGAAAAGAAGTTTAACATTTCAGAGTCCCACATTCTCATTTAGGTCATCGACTGCTCAGCTTCTGGGTAGCCATTTTTAAAACAAAACAAAAGAGCTCCTAGTTAATGCGGTGTAATTTATAATTCTGAGCTGCATCCTAAGGCGGACTATTACAATAGCTTGCTTTTATTTTAAAGCTGTTTTAACAGATCACAAAATGTATGTTTTGGATGGGGAGATTACCTTCTTTGGGTGAAAGTTAATCTTCACTATGTCTAAAAAACATTGCCAAGAGATAACATTATATATTTGCAGTGAATCTCTTTCGTGTAAGAGGTAAGAGATATTTTTTTCTTTATAGTACAATGAGTGTTAATATGTTTGCAGTCCTTGACTCTAAAAATTGTCATTTTTACTTACAGTAAAATGATGCCACTGCATACAGTAAACCTAAAACACATTAAATAGAAAGCAACATGCACCCTGTGTCCTATCAGACATTCCATGTGCTCTGAATTCCTTAGTTTTTTTCAGTTGAGGGCTGCATTCCCTATGGGTTAAACCAGTGATCCCCAACCTTTTTGACGCCGCGGCCCGGTACCGGCATCAGCTGGGCGCCGCGGCCCGGTACCGGTATCAACTGGGTGCCGCCATCTTTTTTTGATGAAAAAGTGCTTCCGGTGAGCTTTCTACCCGGAAAAGCTCACCGGAAGCACTTTTTTACCAAAAAAAGATGGCAGCGCCCAGCAACCAGCGGCCCGGTAAGACTTGTTGCGCGAACCGGTACCGGTCCGCGGACCGGCGGTTGGGGACCCCTGGGTTAAACAACTGAAGGAGACAAGGTAAATGGAGTAGCAACAAGTGACTGAGTAAAGCTGGAACAAAAATAGGATAAAAGCTGCATTCTTTTTCTGCCTCTTCTTATACAGTCTTAGTTTTTTTTCCCAATTATGAAGTTGCAAGAAATGACCAAACCTTTCCTGTCACCCTACTTATTTAACACAACAGATCTTCTTGAACTAGGTTGCTCACCCTTGTTATCAGATAGTAAGACTGAAACATACCCCCGTTTCAAAAGATGTGCCCCAATATATTTCCAGTCTTGCCACTGATATATAGGAAATCCTCGACCTACGACTGCAATTGAGCCCAAAATTTATGTTGCTACAGTAAGAGAGTTTTGTTAAATGAGTTTTGTTAAATGTGTTTTGCCCTAATAGGTCCAATTATCACAAAGTTCCAGAATAACAACAAAATTAATTAGTCCTTAATTATTAAAAAGTCCCATTAATCTAGTTCCTTTTTTGGTGAAGCTAGGGCATGAAAATAAGTGGACTTGGACTGCCAGAATTCCTCAGTCAGCATGGATGGCTGGGGAATTCTGGGAATTGAAGTCCATATATCTTAAATTTCCCAAGACTGGGAAACACTGAGCTAGGAGACAGCTATAATAACCTTACATTCTCACTCTCTTATTGGTGCAATGTTTGGGGACAAAATTATAGTCTAAGCTTTAGTTGCATGTTTCAGCTTCACATAAACTCTTTCTTGTCCCTTGAATTAAGCTTCCGACTGCTTTCAGCCTAGTATCTTTTTTCCTAGATAAGGCTACAATATTTTATTTAATCTTTCTGCTCACTGATTAATACTTTGGAGAGTCATAGTTACTCTTCAGCTTTTTTTGCTATATTCAGGTAGAATCAGCTAATATTCCTCCTCATCACTGAACGAAGTTTTAAAGAGGAATCTGTTGGTGCTCTCTGAGCTTAGTGGTTTGTTTTCTTGCAGACGTTTCATTACCAAATACCATCAGTGCTAGGAAGAGGTGGGATTTGCTCTTATTTTTCTATACTAATGAGAAATCTACAGCGTGCAGTGTGTTCTACATTTTCTTTCAACTAAATAAAACAAAAATTACAGGGTTTTACATTCATTCAAACCCATTTGACAAAGATGAGAATGGAACAAAAGTACATTTGTGTTGACTTGGTGAAATAAGATTGATTTCAAACTATCTTCGTAGCTGTCCTTTCAGATTGTCTTCTAGCTGTGTGTTTGATCTTCAAAGGGCTAAGTAAGAATAGATCCGGTATGTACTTGGGTAGGAAATCACCTTCAAATCTTAAGGAGATCATATGCAAGGCTTTACTGATCATTTTTTGACTGCATTAAGTGTGAACTTTTATTTTGAAAATTCGCAATCAGATTGATTTTTCTTCTTCTTCTGGGTACTGAAACATGTATGCATTTCTTTCTAGAATGTACAGAAGCCTGCAACAGAAAAGAGCATAAAAAACACAAAAAGGAAGCACTGAAAAGCATGCTCAGAATAAGAAAAGAGATGGGATAACAAGGAGGATTTTAAAATGTGACAGACATCCTTTGAACATGCATTTGTTATATTGGATTGCAGAAAAGCTGTCTTATTATGGCATTCAGAAAGGAACAGAAACTCTCATAATAAACTCTAATCAATTCCCTCACTTATGCAGTAACCAAGGCATTTATAAATGCAAATACAAGGATTTTTTTTCACCATTACCTGATCTTCAAAGTTAAATTCATGATCAGGAATCTCTCCTGGGTCCACGATGAGACTAAGGTCAACTTCACATGGACCTAAAAATAAGAAAGGGGATTTCTCAAGTAGAATAGACAGGTTTCATGATGATACAATCTCATAATTAATGGGAAAGGTCTAAGTTGATATTTTTACTCCCAAACAAGAGAAGATTCCCTTTTAAAGTAAGCAATGGTTTTGTTTTGATTCCTCATGGCAATTTCCTGACATAATTATGTAAACCGTTACTAAAATCTAAAATAAAAACATCTAAAAGTAATTCTCATTGAACTCATAGAATTAACTTTGAATAAAGACCTACGTGGTTCAAGATCTAGCTGTATAGAGAAGGCATTAAGGCTGAAAAGGACGAAGGGAACGAGAAGGGAATGACCAGCAACAAGGCAATGGAATCAGTTACTGTAAGTGACAATGAGTATACAACAGGAAGACTTGAAGGACCCATTAAGGGCCAGATCATGATGAAGAAAACCCATTTATGTGGTCACTAAGAATTAATACTGACTTGATGGCACATAATCCCTCCATCAAACATAATCAGAATTGTGCTCTTAATACTGGAATATTAAACATGCTTATAGTAAGTAAATCTCACTGAGCAAAATGTGAGTGCCTTTTTTTTTTAAACAAATTTTATTAATTTTAAAGACAAACAAACCATCATTAACCATTAAATACATAAACCTTTTTCCATTATAAATTTTACAAGTCAAATAAAACATTATTTAATACAACATAATTCTATTTTAGACCATTTCCATATGAACATACAAATATCTCTTATCAAATTTCAAGGTATTTCTCTTTACTCTTATTCAATTTCATTATTATTATTATTTTTCTCTATATTTATCCAGTTTATAATTATCATCTATTTCTCTCTGACTTGATTACCATTATTCTCATCCTACATTCCTGCAAGGTTTTATTAATTCTCCCACATACATAAACACACAAAACACAAAAATATAAAACATCTTTTAGGAAAGTAACTTGGCCCCAGATACCTTTCTCTATATGGACTTCAATTAAGTTCATGCTCATCTTACATGCCATTACCTATTTTATTTACCATTCTATATCTTCTATATTAATTTCTCCACACATTTCACTCTTCTTGATTCTATCTTATTTAATTCATTTTAATTTAAGTCATTATATTTGTATCTTTTGTCCATTCTTTATTATCCATTTGTCTCATTCCCTATAGTAAAAAAGAAAAAGAATTTCTCCTGAAATCACTAATCGGAGTATGATGCCTTTCTATCATCACCCTAAATTAACATTTAAAATAACACCTAATACCCAATCTGATTCTGCTTGGTACATTCTATCTACTAACTTTTAAAAAGAAAAATAATAAATCCAAAATGATTAAATACATAGTTAAATAATAAATCTAAATATTGAATCTTATAACATTCCAATTATCTTTTCCAAAAACAAATGCTACAATAATAAGTTTATAATAGCATCAACACCATAGTCAATTAAACTCTTTAATTAAACTCAATATTCTAAACATTCCCTTTAATATTTTATTAGGTTTTAAAATCAATCATTACTAAACATTTCAATATTTTAATCTCTTATTAATTCTTATAACATTCTAATTTTCTATTTCTAATACAAATGCTACAGTACCATCTTATGTACCTTGCAGAATCTTTTTTAAAGAAATTATACATTACCCTTTGTCCCTAAAAAAAATTCCTCTTTTCCCATCTTGTTTCAAAGCTTTGTGGCTTTTTTCTGCCTTCTCCCTTCCTTTCTTCTCCCACCAAGCCCTCTTACCCCCCCCTCTCCTAGCCTCTGCCATGGTAGCTTCCCTTCTCTGTTGTATTCCTTTTTTCTTTTGTTTTCTAACATTATATTGATTTTGCATCTTATTTTTCTCTTTCTTGGGTGTTTTTTTAAGTCTTAAGTTCTTCATTTTCCTTCCTCTCTTTCTCCTTTCTTTCTTAATTAAATTTTGAGATTCATTAAAGATGGC